TAAAAAAAAATCGGAGTCTTCACATACAAGGAAGATCGTTAGTTTGTTCAGCAGCCCCTCCTTTATTAAATTCTTATGAAAAGTCAATTTGAGACACCACATGCGAGATTCGTATTTTATACTGTATTAATGAAAAATGTTAAACACAATGGAAACATTTAACTAACCCAGGGTGTTAATTTATCAAATCAGGCAACTGTTACGGATAGAGTAGCCATGATCTTTGGCAATTATGTTTTCCAATCGCCATCGGTCTAAAATATTATTTTCCCATGTGAAAAGGCCACAAAAAAAATCTGAAAGTGTGTTCACTGTGACACATTTACCTTAAGTTTTTTTTTGTGACTTCAAAAATCTCAAATTATACCCAATGTGACATATTTACCATAAAAAAAATTTGGCATAAAAAATTCAAAACTTGTATTTATGAGACACATTCACCCTCCTCTGTCAATGTTCCGTTTCATGATTTTTCAGCCAAAACAACATCGTTTTTTCTTAAGCCATGTGGGGGCCATGTTATTATTGTTTACTTTCTGGATGTAGGCAGATTTTTAACGATTATCATTGACAGAACTTTGATGGAGGGTAAATATGTCACACAGGTACAATATTATGATTTTTGGTGTCACAGAAAATAGTTTAGGATAAATGTATCATACTGAGTATGATTTAGGGTTTTTAGTGGTTTTTTCCTATAAATAACTTTTTTAAAGGAACTGATGTTTAAATATGTCCATGATTTTGTCTAAAGTTCTTTCAATCAAACTTAATTTAATTACCTAAGTCTGTTATTATTCATAAAATTTCTAAAGATGATTTACTCTGGTTTAAAAAAAATCAAGTGAATTCCAACATGCAATATTTTTTGGTAATGGGAAGACATTCATGGTTAAAGATTTGAATTGACTCTGCTATGCACATCATACTATGTGGTAAAGAGAAAATACTATGAATAAAAGTACAAGAATCTATCCTAAGGGTTTGGGTCGGTCGGGTCGGGTATCCCGAACATAAAGAGAGTAGGCCCATTGTGATCCGATCTAAGGTCTGACCCAAATAGAACTTGAACCGAAAAGACGGTTCGGATCAGGTTTTCGGGTTTCCTTTTTTTTCCCCTTCTCCTTCTTCTCCATCATCACAGTGCAGTGGATGGTGTATCAAACCCTCATTTATCCTTAGTTTTGAGACTCTCTGACTTTGCACTTTTCGGTTCAGGTTTTCGGGTTTCCTTTTTTTTTCCCCTTCTCCTTCTTCTCCATCGTCACAGTGCAGTGGATGGCGTACCAAACCCCATTTATCCTTTAGGTTTGAGACTCTCTGGCTTTGCATTTGTGCGTGAAGTGTTGCCTCTCAGTTTAGATTTTTCTTGCTGGTGGGAGTTAAGATTCTTTTGGTAAGTGAGTTGTTTTGCTCTTGACTCAACACTCGTCATTTGTCCCTTTCCTTTCACCCATGCTCAGAAACTAAGGGCCGTTTGGCAAGTTGTTAAATAGTGAAAATTTCTGTTCTTTTGTTTTCAGAATCAGTTTGAGAACAGAAATCCGTTTGTTAAAATTTTTGTGCCCGGGCACAAATTTGCAAAAAATTGTTCCCAGAATCATTTTTGGAATAGAATCAAGAAGCAAAAAAAAAACAGCTTCTTGATTATGGGAACAATTTTTCCATTTCTGATTTTTCTTAGTTTTCTTCTTCCTCTTGGTTTGTTGGTCTTCGCCTACCACCGGCCACCGGTGACTGGCCATAGGCCAGGGCCAGCGAGGGCGGCTCGCAGCCACGACGGCGAGGCCTCGCCCAGCCATGGCGAGGGCGACCTCGCCGTCGCGACCCAGGCGAGAGAGATGGGTTGTGACGGCAAGGTCGGCCTCGCCTTGGTGGCGAGGGCCGCGACGCCGTCGCCGGCCATGGCCAAGGAAGAGAAGGGAAAGAAAGAAAAAAAAAAGGTAAAAAAAGAGAAAGAAATATTAAAATATTCTAAATATTATTAATAAAAAGAAATTTCGTGTAGTTACCAAACGCATTTCTGTTCTTTTTATATTCTAAGAATAGAAATTTTGGGCAGTTACCAAACGCCTTTAAATGCTTAGAAATTGTTCCCGGGCACGGAATAAAAAAGAATCATTTCTGAGCAGAATCAGTTCCCAGGCATAGAATCGTTGCCATGCGCACCCTAATTACACTTCTCCCTCTCATTCTTTGCATTATGTGCTGTGGAGTGCCATTTCCGGGAAATTTATGAACTTTGAGTTTCCCAGACAAATAGGAGTAAAGTTGTGACCATGGTTCAAGAAATTTTTTGTTCCCTATTGTCTCTCTGCAATCTGAGTTGAGACAAAACCAAATCGATAGATGGTTGGGGTTGTCAATATAGTGTTTAGTTGTGTTTCTGTGTTTCGGTATGATTCGGAACGGACCCGAATGTTATAAGATGAGCATGGCCACGTAAACTAGTATTATACTAAAATAGACTTTTGAACAATTCAGGCATTTAATTTAATTAGATGAGCCTTTCTTTTCCAAATAAAAGTTTAAAAGTTCTGTAAGCAATAAATTGAGACTTTAGCACATTTTAATATATTTAAATTTAACAAGAGGGGCCGTTCTTATACAAAGAGAAGTTTAAATTTTGGTAAATGAAAATAAAAGATCTAAGATATCTTTTTCCAAGTCTCAATCTAATTGCAAGCATCTTCTTACATCATAAGTCATCTTCTTTATTTTTCTTAATTTCCATTATATTGCACAACAACTTCTCCATCTACACCGAAACAATACTTCACAATCCCTTTTGTTTTTGCAAGGAAAAATTACACAGAATGGTCCCTAAACTCTAGGCCAATGTGCAATATCGTCCCCGAACTTTGTTCAACATAGTCCCTTAAATTTGGCCAACGTGTAACTTCATGTCGTCCCTAAATTTTTAATTTGTTCAATATGATTTATGAACTTTTATTACGTGTTTAATTTTGTCCATAGAATTGAAAATGTCATGCCGTTTATAAATTATATAAAAATGTTCAATATTATCTCTAAATTTGAATTAGTGAAATGGTGACATTAGATATTTTCATATAATTTAAAGACTAGATTGAACATTTATTGAAAGTTTAGGAATCACATTAAATAAATTAAAAAATTTAGGGATGATATTGCATATTGATCTAAACTTCAAGAAGTTTTTATGTAATAATCCCATTTTGCAATCATTGCATATGGTCAAAAGAGGAAGTTGGATCTAGACCCAAAAAAAAAAAAGAGGAAGTTGGATTAGATGGTTGTAACTCCTACTTCAAAAGGGTTAATTGTGCAATTATGAACTTGGAGATTGTATCCCGTATCCTCCTCGTGCTTTCATTTTTCTTCGAGCTTGACTGGCGCCAAAACGTCATGCACTCAGACAAAATAGCCAAAAAACCTTTCCTCGCTTGACCACGTGGGATCCACCATGTCCATTTTAGAAAGGTGAATGGTCAATCCAATTTCCTTCTGACCAAAAAAAGAAAATCCAATTTCCTTTTCTTCCATCGATTTATTCATCACATGATGTTAGGATAAAAGCATTAAAAGTCCTAAAACTTGTCACGAAAATACAATTGAGTCCTAAAACTTTCATAATATGCAATTAAGTTCTAAAACTTATTACGAAAGTACAATTGAGTCCTAAAACTTTCATAATGTGCAATTAAGTTCTAAAACTTATTACGAAAGTGCAATTGAGTCCTAAAACTTTCAAAAAGTGCAAACAAGTCCTAAAACTTGTCAAATTGATTCAATCAAGTCCTTCTATTGATTGCACTTTTTGAAGGTTTTAGGACTTAATTGCACATTCGTAATAAGTTTTAGGATTTGATTACACTTTTTGAAAGTTTTAGGACTCAATTGCACTTTCGTGACAAGTTTTAGGACTTGATTGCACTTTCATGATAAGTTTTAGGACTTCTAGTGCATTTATCTCTATGATGTTTGTCCTTTAACTTGGAGTTCAATGGCGATTTCATAATTCGAATGTAACAAATTCTACATACGGTTATATCATATTATTCTTTGAGGTCATGGAAACTCGTAACATATTGTAATTCAACAGGGATAATTATCTAATAAGTCCTAAACTTATTGTACAGTGGCCAATTCAGTCTTAAATCTGTAAATTGACATCGACAAATTATCAAAATATTTAGGACTGAATTGGTACAATTGAAAGGTTTTAAATTGAATTAGCCATTGTACAATAGGCCTAAGACTTTTTGGATTATTTTTTCCACTTCAATGACGTGATTTTGATGTAAGAGGCAAGAATTTGCAAACAATGGTAACAATATTTTTTTTCTTGAGATTATCGGAAAGCCGATCTTTGCAGTAAGAAAGAGGGTTTCTTCACCGGTTAAAATCATTCGTGTTATTATGAGAAGCATCTTACTTTGTTATACATTTTCATGTATAAATTCTGTAGTGTTTGGTTTTGCCTATTGATTTATTGGTCGTGTTCATCTATCTCTTTTTACAATTAACACATCACCATTTAAGTCATTTACGAAAAAAAATTTCTTCATCCGCAGGTGTATTTAGCAATACACCTTACCAACAGCAACGCATTGATAAGAAGATTTAGTTTAACCGGGGCCATCCGCACATCGAAATGGAGTAAGCACGGCGAGTCAACGCGTCGCGAGGCATCAGGACGCACAAACTTCGCCACTTTACATTTCCCTAAAAACGTGATAATGAACTTAGCGAGCATCCTCTACGGACTAAATCGATCACAATGCACGTAGTTAATTTTCTTTAATCCTAATTACTGCATTCCAGAAAAATTAAACATGCGGATCATGATTAAAGTTATTAATTATGATCAAGATTAAGATAAATCACTAAAGAATACTATTTCTGGGCTTAGCCCAGTCCACCAAAAAAAAGAAAAAAAAAAGAACAGGAGCATGTGGAAATAACGAAGAACACAGCCAAGAAACATCGAACCGCGCATCACCGGACCAAAATCACCGAGCGAATCGAAAGCTTCCTGCCCAATTGGCAATGAACTCCGCGAAAGCATTCGGGAATCGCTAAAACCAAAACCAGAAATTATAAGGGGACGACTTTAAAATCTTTTTTTTTTATAAAAAAGAAAAAGAAAGGGTGGAAAAGAAAGTTGGAATTATGGAATTCGGTGGAATTATTAGGACGAGCGAAGGAGAGGAGGACTGTTGTTGCTGTTGTTGTTGTTTTGATCCTGATCTTTGCCTTCCTTTTTCCCGTTTGTTGGTGTGCATCGTCATCGAATCCAGAGAGGAAACTCCTCCTCAATATATACACGCTCGATTCCTTCGTTCGAGGAGGAGGATGGTGGTGGTGATGGGGGCGGGGCGGTGATGATGGGTCTCTTCCTTTGGCGTCGCGATTGCTGCGGATGATGTTGTTTAGATAAGAGGGGATTTGGGTCTTGCTCGCTTTTGGGTGTTCTTGGGGAACCCTAGCGAAAGGGGCGGTTTTGGGGAGCTTGTTCGATCGGTTCGGTCGCTAGGGTTCGTGGGTGCTTCGGTTTTTGTGTGCTCCGGCGATGGAGGAGGGCGGATCGGATGGGGAGAATCAGGGGAGGAGTCCCGGGAAGGCGGGGAATTCTGGGGAGGGGCAGAGCAAGCCCAAGCGCCAGATGAAGACGCCGTTCCAGCTGGAGACCCTGGAGAAAGCTTATGCGAGTGCGTGTTTGATTTGCTTTGTTTCAGAGCTTTCGTGTTTTTCTCCGGGTCTTTGCTGTAAGGTTTTTTCTGTGTGATTTATGTGTTGGGTTTTGTTGAAGTTTGTGTTTTCTTGTATTTGGTTGGTGGTGGTGCAGTGGAGATGTATCCGTCGGAGGCGATTCGGGCCGAATTGTCAGTGAAATTGGGGCTTACCGATCGGCAGTTGCAGATGTGGTTCTGCCACAGGAGGCTAAAGGACAAGAACAACTCGTCGGAGAAGAAATTGCGGAAATCTGCAGCTGTTGTGGGGACGAAAGAAGGCATTGAAGATGGTCTGATGGCTGCAGCTGAGCCAGGAAGTGATTATGGGTCGGGTTCGGGCTCTGGTTCGAGCCCGTACGCGAGTAGGGAGTTGCAGGGGATGGTTCTGAGGAGAGACGGACATGATTCAGCTACTGGTAGGGGGTGTTATGAGTCGCCAAGGACCATAATGGAGCTTAGAGCGATAGCTTGTGTGGAGGCACAGTTAGGGGAGCCTCTGAGGGAGGATGGACCTATTCTTGGCATGGAGTTTGATCCCTTGCCTCCTGATGCATTTGGTGCTCCTCTAGGTATCAGTTCGGTGTGTTGTCATTAGAATTATATTTGTTGTATTAAACTGGAGTTCATATGCAGTTTTAGATAGCAGCCCATATAAGCGTAGCTTGCTTGTAATATTGTGTTCGAATTGTGGGCTAGTGAAATGCTCATATGCAAAGTTATACTATGGTTATTGCGGCAGATTGTTTGCACTGCGAAGCTGCAGAAGTGCTTTAAGCTAGTCTTGCAATAGTTTTGTTATGATAGGTATCTGTTATTTGTCTAGATTATGACACATGAAATTTCCTTTCCTTTGACTCACTCTCCTAGTTGATGGAGGATAAGTTTGGCAACTACAAGTGATGATTGGGGATACATGTAGGCTGTGTCCTTGGAATTAGGCTCGCCACTTATCGTCCGTGCTGTTCTGACAGTGTGATTCCTTACTGATGTAGAGGGCTCCTCTTTTGCTATGGTACCCTAGTAGGATAGCGTGTATAATGTGAAGGTGCCCTATGTTGTGATTAATTTGTACTGCGTTAGTAAAGATCAGGTGTTTGATCTGGAGAATCTTGTTTTTTCATGTAAACACGCCACTCTTTCTGGTTTTCTCAGTGGTCATATGCTTTTTTTGCTTGGGTTAAATAGCAAGTGCTGAATGCATCAAGATCATTATAGTAAGTACCGGTACTTGCATGGATAGAACAGGATACAAGTGCAAATTTTGGAGTATTTTATTTGGACAGCCACATCTATCTATCTGAGTGTTTCCCCTTCTTAGTTCTCTTTTTCATGTTTACTCCATTACTTAACCAACTTTAACATGTTATTTTGTAGTTGCAGATGACGAGCAGAAAAGATCTCTGAATCCTTATGATGGCAAAGTGTATGTTCGACGGGATTCCATGTCAAATAAGGTCAGTGCCTTCTTTACCCTTTTGAAATGTTATTGTTGTTGTTGTTTGAATAATAAACAAAATTTTATTGAGAGGGTAACAAGGGGGTTCTGCCCCTATACAAAACGGCTGTAAAAGGAATGCCATGCATATACAATTTTGTACGGAAAGAAGAACCCCTTGTAGTATGTCGGTTATTACTTATGATATGGAGATTGTGTGACGTTTAATTTGTTATTTGCTACTATTTCCTTGATGTTGTCATCTTCCAAAGGTTTCAGTCTTTTTGAACAGTTGTGCTGACTGTGATAGGGCTATAATCCATTAAGTTCCAAGGTACTCATTATGATAAATGTTAGTTCCATGAAATGGATCTAGGCTGGCTGGGACAGGTGCATATTTTACTTAGAGGAAAGGTACTTCTTCATCTAAATTCTATAAAACAAGTCCTAGTGATCTTGGCTGGCTTTTGTCTTTTTTTTACATGCTGCTCTGTCTGTGTGATGGTTTTTTTTTTCCTTGTTTTGTAGTTAACTATCACGAATTTTCTGTTGTGATTACACTTGCATGGGTTAATGGAAGTTTACAAGGATCATACTTGTTCATGCTTATGAATTAAGAATGTGTTTGCGAAATGTCGTCACAAATATTTTTGTGATATTATGAGCATTCTGCCTGGCAAAAATATTGAATAGTTTCAACCCCTTTTCGTGCAGTTACCAAGAACTGTTTGGTACCAATACTTCGTAAAAAAATTGGAGGAGATCTTTCTCAATCCAAACTTACCTCTTCATGCAAATTTTTTTTGAGAGATTGATGTAGGCAGTTGCCCGTATACTTATACCCTACATATCCTTTTTCCTAACTCAATCCATTATTGGAGTTTTGATACTCTAAAATTTTTAAACTTTTACAAGTTTATTCTTCTTGTCGTCCCATATGAAAACTGGATTTTTCTCTTTTGATTTTAAGGACTGTTACTGCTCGTAGAAGAATATAATATATTTCTGATGATGGTTTTGCTTGTTAACTTTCATTCTTTCTTTGATGTCATATATGATTTGTCAATTTCTGTGTTATGTGTGATTATATTCCAGGCTGCTTCGAGACTTCTCCACCATGAGTATCAGTTTCTGCATGACCAGCCTATAAGATACCAGACACCTGGACGCGTTGCCCAAACTCACTATCATGATGTCCCGGTGGATGGCCCAACTACCAGAATGTCATCTATTCATGGAAGTGAGAAGCTGCCTAGTGTCGATGGTGTCCGAGGTCACCGACTGCGAGTATGCCGTGTCTCACAAGAAGATAGAGAAGGAAACAGTGTTTTATCCCCTCCAGGAGATGATCATTCCCTTCAGCCGAGAGAATCTTTTGCTAACATTCGAATGGATGCTCAGCAAGGAAGCCACCCATTTATCGGTCTAGAAGATTCTTCTACGCTGCCTGACGGGACAATTTTGCATGATACTTCTGACCTGCATGTTGAGAGAAAACGCAAGGTAATTCTGAAGCTCCAGAGAGCAGATTATTGTCATCACTTTTAAATATAGCTTTAGGGTGACCAAAAATGTCTCTTTGTTGCAGAATGAAGAAGCCCGGATCGCTAGGGAAGTTGAAGCTAATGAAAACCGAATTCGCAAAGCACTAGAGAAAGAAAACATTTTGAGGAGAAAGGTTTTCATTCATTACTTAGGGATATGTGAGCTTTGTGGAGAAAACTTTGGCATTTACTGATATCCTGTATTTTTCTATCGCAGAGTGAGGAACGAATGAGGAAAGAGATGGAAAGATTTGATCGTGAAAGAAGGAAAGAAGAAGAAAGGTTGATGCGTGAACAGCAGAGAGAGGAGGAGAGATTGCTACGTGAGCAAAGGCGAGAAATAGAGCGACGGGAGAAGTATTTGCAGAAAGAATCTATTAGGGTAAGTATATGAGCTTGATATTGTATTTTCTCTAGTTAGTTTCTTTTGCTTTATTTGATTGGTTAAGCAACATCTCTTCTTTTCTCTTTTCTTTACCAACTTCTCTGGGTTTTGTTTTTTTGGTAGGCGGAGAAAAAGAGACAAAAAGAAGAGCTTCGTCGAGAAAAAGAAGCAGAGAGACGAAAAGCTGCGGTGGAGAAGGCCACTGCTCGCAGAATTGCCAAGGAATCCATGGAGCTTATGGAGGATGAACAGCTGGAGCTGATGGAATTGGCCGCTGCAAGCAAGGGGTTGCCTTCAATTGTTAACCTCGATCATGCCACTATGCAGAACCTTGAGTTGTTCAGAGGTAACATTATTATAGTAATTCCTGTTAAGGCCAGTTTCCCTCCGTTGATTCATTGATTGTGTGATATTGTTGTCTCAACTAGGATTCTATAGTAGCTAAGACAAGCTTATAAATTCTTATGCTCTGTTTTAATCATGCACCTTAAATTCAGTAGAAAGGAAATAGGGCCCAATCTTTTCTAGAGAATTTACTGGTGTGCCATTGTTGCCAAGAATAATTCTAGATATATTAAAGGTATACAAAAACCATTATACTAAATGATGTTAACATTGGATATTTGAATAAGTCACCATCTCGTGCTTTGAACCTACTCCTGTCAACACCAATTTAATTCACGTCACATAATTTAGTGTACCCATTTTGACACATTGTTGGTATACCTACCATTAATCATTTACCAATTTATGTCGAAGTAAGCTCTGTACCCATTTTGACACATTCTTGGTATACTTACCATTAATCACCTACCAATTTATGTCGAAGTAAGCTTTGTTTCAACTTAGTCCTCACCTCGTTCTCTGGGTCAGGTAAATAACTTTTGGGGGCATTTGGCATTATGTAAATCTTAGATGTGAGTTTGGGGTGACTTGCCCCCCTCCCTTTTGCTTTACTCTTTTCTTAAAACCTTTAAAAACGTGTAAGTATTGTCATATGCTGTTTTTAAAAATGTTCTAATAATTCTAAAATTACGATAAATTTTTTTAGCGGGAAAGCAAAATTTTAGAGGGAAAGAAAAAAAAAGTACTTATTATAAGCTCTCCTAAAAGAACCCTAGATATGTTCTCTTAAGAAAAATGTGTCGATGCTCCTGGAAATAAAGTTGAACAATTTTTATTTCGCTTAGCCAACTCAATTGATTGTAAAGTGAACATAGCTCTGTTAAGTTGAAAAACTGTTACTCCTACCCGCTCCCAGCAATTTTTGAACTCGGGCCTGTTTCTGGTAGAGCTTTCCTTAATTAATCTGAATCGTATTTTTACAGAGTTTCTACAATGCTATCCTTTGCATAATCTTACATGTTAAGTGAGTTGCTGTGAATTTCTTGTAACTTATTTATAGGATCAGAAGAGTAAACTGAATTGGCCTATGGAATGAGGGATTTGTTTCTACTGCAACATTTAGAAGTGAGGATCTGGTTTATATTTCCTTGCACTTGAATTTGCTCCATGCTTTCATTTTGTTGTAAAGAAGCTGATTTTGACATCTAGAAATTATAGCCAATAGATGCAGAGATATGTATCTCTTGATGACTGTTTCTTGTTTTTGTACTTACGTGGGAAAAAAAAAGTTTCTTGTTTGTTGTATGGTTCTATTCTGGTAAGTGAGTATGCATGTGTATGTGCGTATGCGGGCGTGTGCCTCCATGTGTATGCATGCATGTATGTCTGTTCCTGTCTGTCTGCCTTTCTTTGGGCATTCCAACTCTAGTTGCTACTGTATGTTTGCTATTGTCTGTGACTATAACGTGAGTTTTATGCTTTAGATTCGTTGAGTGCCTTCCCTCCTCAGTCTGTGCAATTAAAGAGACCATTTGCAGTTCAACCATGGACCAATTCAGAGAACATTGGGAATCTTCTCATGGTATGTTTGACTTCTGAAAGAGATGTACATATTTTTTCATAATAGCTTGCACTTCCATGATAAAGATTACTATCTGAAAATGTTGCATCTTTATTGTGGAGACGTACCATTGTCCTTGAGGCTGCAAATATATTATCTGACCCGTAATATTTAGTGCCGAAGTGTGTCATGGACTCCCCATTATCAGTTCTTGAGTTCACTTACCCCATCATTCTTTTCCTCAGACTTAATAGAATAGATTCGTAACAAGAGGGATAGTTCATTGTCTAGTGGGGGACGGAAGTTTGGATGGTTGCCTCTTTGACTTCTATCTTTCAATATCGTAATTGCTATAAGGGTAACTTTGAATGCATGGTTTGTGTTACCTTGAGGACAAATTTGTTTTCTTATCTGAATGTTTTTCCAAATGTAAGAGTAAACTCATCCCCTTGAGTTATTGAGGGTGTTCTCTTTTGCTTTATGACTGATCTTCCCTTACATGAAGAGCTTAGTGGCTTGCTTCTGGGTGATCCTGTGCAGGCCTGGCGATTTTTTCTTACTTTTGCAGATGTACTTGGTCTATGGCCCTTTACTCTTGATGAGTTTGTTCAAGCTTTTCATGACTATGTAAGCAATGTCCTCTATAATTGGATATCTTTGTTTCTCATAGCTTTAACATCCGTTCTATTATTTTTATGCCCATCTGTACATTCTACTTCATGGCAGGATTCAAGATTGTTGGGCGAACTACATGTTGCTCTTTTGAAGTCAATAATTAAAGACATCGAAGATGTTGCGAGGACACCTGCTACTGGTTTGGGTATGAATCAATATAACACTGCCAATCCTGAAGGGGGACATCCACAGATTGTTGAAGGGGTAAACTATCTTTGCTAAACTTTGTTTATAGAATAGTGAATCCATTATCTGGGGTGAATGAACTGTTTGTTTTTTTCATAGGCATATGCTTGGGGTTTCGATATACGCAAGTGGCAGAAGCATTTGAATCCATTGACATGGCCTGAAATACTTAGGCAATTGGCATTATCTGCTGGATTTGGTCCACAATTGAAGAAGAGAGCTGTTGCACGACGTTGCCGGCAAGATATTGATGAGGTTCTTTATTCGAACTTCACTTTTACCTCAAACTTGACAAAAGTACTTTTTATTGTCTCACCATAGGGGGGGGGGGGGGGGGGGGAAGTTGCCAAAGTATGCATGCTTATCTAATATCCTTAGACATAAAAGAATCAGAAGTGCTGATTGGCCTACGATTATGAATGTCACATAACACATGACTCGAACTGATTGGGGAATCATTTTCTATGGATACCTCTTCCATTTTGTCTGCTAAAAAAGAGGTCTTGATCCTGCTTTCCTTCTGATGGAATTTAACATAGACTCTGGCTAGTGAGTATCTGTTACTGGATATCACTTTCTTTTGACCCTACAAGTTGTGTTCAAGAAAAGACACTAGATACTAGGTTCATTAAGGTTGGATTCACAGTCATATCACTGAAATTTGAAAACTTTCAATCCCTATGGCTACCTTATCACGATGTGTATAGCATACTAGCATAGTGTAATCAAAGTTTCAATAATGACATTTCAATTGGGTCACTGCATCTACTATCCATAAGAAACAAACAGAAAGCAGATGTGGCGCCGAACACAGCATTTGGATGAAGTGCAACATCAATCTCTATTACGCGCTGCCTGAGATTTCAATTACTTATGTAACGATGACATTTGATGTGCTACTATTCGCTGAATTTCCAGCACCTTTGGAATATAGGCCAACAATTTCTTCAAAACCTTTTTAGGCAACATTCCTGATATTTTTTTGGGTAATGGATGAAAATCCGATTTATTTTCTTCGTACTTCATTCATAAGGATGTGAATTTGGTCGTTATTTGTAACTTGTGTTTATATTCGCTAAGAATGACAATGAAATGCACTTTGCATGCATCCTCTGGCAGTCCATCTTATACCTAGATGGAGTTCTCTTGCAGCTATACCGAATGGAACCTAGAATAACATTATCTATTTGTTATTTTTTTTTTTATGAATTTCAATGGAGAAACTTGTGATTTCAGGTTAAAGGTTGTGAAGAAGTCATATCTACTTTACGCAGTGGTTCAGCAGCAGAGAAAGCGCTCACCGTCATGCGAGAAAAAGGTTTGTTACTTCCTAGGAGATCTAGGCACCGATTGACACCCGGAACTGTCAAATTTGCCGCTTTTCATGTTCTCTCACTTGAAGGAAGCAAGGGGTTGACTGTATTAGAACTGGCAGACAAGATTCAGGTTAGTATTTAATAGATTTATGGTCAGGGTTATGATTGGTTCGTCATTTTTGGAATCTGATTTAGCTCATTACATATAGAAATCTGGACTGCGAGATCTCACTACAAGCAAGACACCAGAAGCTTCCATTTCTGTTGCTTTGACTAGGGATACTAAACTTTTTGAAAGAATAGCTCCGTCAACCTATCGTGTCAGATCTGCTTATAGGAAGGATCCAGCTGATGCTGAGTCAATATTGGCAGAAGCCAGAAAGAAAATAAGAATATTCGAGAATGGAATTTTAGCTGGAGAAGATGCTGATGAAGTGGAAAGAGAGGATGAAGGGGAAAGAGATGAAGAATTTGAAGGTGATATTGATGAGGATCCTGAAGTCGATGATTTAGCCACTACATCAAGTGCTAACAATGATGTGGACCGTTGTGGTCAAGCGAATGCATGTCCAGAAATTGGAAAGGAGAATGTTTCTGGTGATACAAATTTACCAAATGAGATTGAAGGGGACATAGAATCTTGCACTGTGGCTGCTTCCATGGATGTGTGTCATCCAAGCATTGCCACTGAGCACCATAATGATGCTGAGGATTTTTGTGGTGGTAAAGATGATCAAGAAAGTGTAGAGATTGATGAAAGTAAGTCAGGTGACTCGTGGATTCGTGGACTTACTGAAGGGGAATATTCTCATCTCAGTGTTGAGGAGCGTCTGAATGCTCTTGTTGCTTTAATTGGTATTGTGAATGAGGGGAACTCGATTCGTGCTGTTCTTGAGGTAGTCAGCTTTCTGCATTTTACTAAAGAGCTTTGGTTGCTTTTGAAAAAAAAAGAATTCTCTCTTGACTTTCTGTCTAATTTTTCACAGGACCGGCTGGAAGCAGCAACTGCTCTTAAAAAGCAAATGTGGGTAGAGGCACAGTTGGATAAGTCTCGCTTGAAGGATGAGTTTACTGCTAAAGTGGATTTCTTGTCCTTATTGGGGAGCAAAAATGAATTTCAGCCTCCCAATTCTGTGGTCGATGGCAGCCAAAGCTCCTGGCTTCTAGCTGATAATAAAAACAATGATGTTTCTGCAGAGAACCAAAAATCATTGCATGGTCCAGAAGGTCTCCAGAATGACTCGAGCAGTGTTCCAACTGAAAGATTCTCGGCTGTTCAGGATTCTTCTGGAGGTCCAGATAACTTCTCCATGCAATATGGACATGCTTCAAAAAGGTCACGCTCTCAATTGAAGTCTTATATTGCTCATAGAGCTGAAGAGATATATGTATACAGGTCCTTGCCTCTTGGTCAGGATCGCAGGCGAAATCGATATTGGTGGTTTGTTGCATCCGCCTCGAAAAATGATCCTGGTTCAGGCAGGATATTTGTTGAGCTACATGACAATTCTTGGAGGCTTATAGATTCGGAAGAGGTAAGTGTATGCAATTCGATATTTTATTTTTCATCTCTAAGAACATATATGTCCTTCATTATGACCATATGTGGTAAAAATGGCATTTTGCGTATGAAATGAGAGGAAGAGGAAAAGGTAAACACAAATTCAGGGTGGCCTAGTTAATGGTTGGCTCAACTGGCCATTGGTTATGTTATCCAAACAGGACAAAATCGATGTTTTTGATTTGTTAGAATTTATACTGATTATTAATTCTTTTGTGAGTCATAAAACAGAACTACCAGAGCCAAAAGCTCTGGAAGCCACATTAGAAGTGTACTATAGAACCAAGAACATTTTACTATGTATATGCAAGTGTTCTGTTTCTGAATAAAGGACACCGCAGTAAATTTCATTGTAGCTGAAGGTATGCTACTGAGGGTGATCATGTCACCTTCACTTTTTGAAAATGGTGGCCATTTTGATTTTGAAAGTAGTGATTAAGGAACATTGTTTCGTCGCATCTGACTTTCGGTTGGCATTATCATTACCTTATTCTCTGAATAAGGTATTTGTGAGGTTTATCAGGTTGTGTATTTAATATCATCGAACATCATTTTTTTTTTGCAGGCTTTTGATGCTCTTTTGATGTCCTTAGATACACGTGGGATAAGGGAATCCCATTTGCGTCTAATGCTGCTGGAAGTGGATCCCCTATTCAAGGAGAATGTTAGAAGGAGCTCACAGGCCAAATTCTTCTCAAGGGGTGGACTCCCTGTTAAAAACGAAGCAGCTGAAATGGATTCTAGTCCTGATTGTCTTAATGATTTTGACAGTCCTAACAGTACAGTCTGTGCTTCAAACTCTGATTCATTCGAGACATCATCATCGATCAAAATTGAGCTTGGTCGAAACGAATTTGAGAAGAAGGCTGCATTGAAGAGATATCAAGATCTCCAGAAGTGGATGTGGAAAGAGTGCCGCATCTCATCCTCATTGTCCGGCGTAAAAGTCGGGAAGAAGAGGTGTGACCAGCTGTTAGGCATCTGTGATGGCTGCCTCAGCACGTACTTCTTTGAGGCCATCCATTGCCCATCTTGCCACAGGACTTTTGGCAGCGAGTTCGACTTTTCACTTAATCATGTGGGGTGTGAAGAGAAAAGGAAGTTGGAACGTGGGTACATCCATATTTTTGATTATTCTCTTCCCCTTGGAATCAGATTAATCAAAGCGATGTTAGCATATTTAGAGGTAAGGCTGAGTGCATAGGAATTTATTAAGGGCTACTCTGTTAAAGTGCATTGTCTTAGTAATAGCTGTGTCGTGTCGTGTCATGCTCTCTCTCTCTCTCTCTCTCTCTCTCTCTCTCTTCCTGCTAAGCTCATGCGTTGCCACGTGTGTGCTTCTCTGCTTTTTCCATGTTATTAACCGTTTCTACTTTCAGGTTCATATTCCATCAGAAGCTATTCAATCGTTTTGGCTGGAAGACATGGACTGCCGAAAGACTTGGGGTATGAAGTTGAATGCATCATCATCCACTGAGGAACTTCTGCAGGTCTGTGCAATATACGTTCTGCAATTCATCGTTTTGATTTATTTACATCATAGTGTAAACCGTGAGTTTTCGTTAGTGTGTGATTGCTTGAAAGAAATTGTACATTGAAAAGTTCTGTAATATCAGTACCCTAAATGCTGCTTTATGTTAACTGCTGCCTTGAAAGCTGCCGAGATAAATCCCCTGTTGTGAGATGGCCCTTTCTTCAGTTCTCTTTGTCATAGATGTGTTTCTTTTAAATAGATCACCTTGATGACCACCCTTCTTGTTGGAGCCTCATTTTGTTTGGCCTCTTCTGTTTCTGTTCTGAAACAACACCAACCTCACTTTGTCTTCTTGTCCTCCCTTTTTAAGAATTTGTTGCAAAAATAAGTTAGTTCTGCTACTCATCAACTGTACATGACATCCTTTTTGCTTTTATCATGCACATAATCAGACTCAACATGAATGGCAAACACGTGGTATGGAAGTGCACTTGAGTCCAATGTACCATCTATGCAACGTTCTTGCTTACCATCTCTCCATGCCACAACAAGAAATATCTGAGGCAGGCCCTAAAGACTTTTGACTAATTATCCATGAACACCTCAAGAGATGTAGTTCAAGCTGGAAGTCTCACAATTTGATTTACCCAGTTGAGGTTTTATGATAGATCACTAGGTAATTGTCTATGTGTGTGAATGTGAGACAAAGCAATTGCACGTCTCGTGCTGATAATGGCTTCTAGGTATGATATTCGTGGGCTGCAACTTTGTCTTACTGCAGTTTATTTAGATTACTGGTTGGTGTCTCTCTGCACCATTAGTTCATTCCTTTGTAACTGTACATGGGCTTCTACGCTGACTCACTATTATATCCATTCATATGATTGTATGTCATCTTTTTTCTTTTCTTTTCTTTTCTTTTTCTTTTGCATCATATTCTTTTATTGTTCAGCGATGTGGCTGGCCTAACTTTTCAGCTGCTCATCTGACTTGCATATTGCTTGATAACATTTTTGTTGTAGATGGTAACTCTACTCGAGGGTGTTATTAAGCGGGAGTATCTATCAGCGGACTTTGAGCTGTCAAAGGAATTGCTGTGCTTGGTGAGAAATGCTGGGGATGAATCAAAGAGCTCTGAAGCTGTTTCTGTTCTTCCATGGATTCCACAGACTACTGCCGCCGTGGCTTTGAGGCTTTTTGAGCTGGATTCTTCTATAACTTACGTAAAACAGGAAAAATCTGAGCCTGGTGATGATATGGCACTGAAGGATTACATAGTAAGTATTCTTTTGCCCGCACACTAAAGGTGCTCTAGAAAAATGAGAAATCTGAATGGATACAGTAGAGATAGAAAACTTCAGAGGACGTAGCACAATTTCAGTACAGTTGTGACTAAATCAGTGAGACTGCTTTTAGGGTGCTAAGCATCTAACTGGCCTCCACTAGTGTAAATCGGTGGGGCTATGTAGATGCGTGTATGCTTGAATTATTCAAATGCATTATAAATTAAAATTTACATGGTGGTGTCATGGGTATTTAGTGTAGGGTTACTTTATTAAAATTTACATGTAATTTGCTAGTTGCCTCCTTATTTCTTTATGTTACAGAAAGTTCCTGCGAAACCCTCGTTGCGCAAGCTCAATGAGACCAAACTATCAGAGGGAGATCAAGAAGAACTACAGATGAAAGTCCTTTCTGCTGATGTCATTAAAGGTCGCAATAGTAGAAAACGTGGACTTGGGAGCCGTGATCGAAGCAACAGTAGAATGCATCAGAGGAGACCTGGTGCAAAACCCTTTACCGGTAAACAGAATTCTCTAAATGTCGAGAGTTTAAATCGGGGGTTTAATCAACAGGGGCAAGGCTATGGGCGGGGCCGCCGGACATTGAGGAGGAGGAGGACGGAAAGCATGGCTGTTCAGGGGAGGTTGCTTGGCAATATGGTGGATACAGGGAGGCCAAAGATAATTGAGGACTCTACGGCAGTTGAGGAATGGGGCGCTGAACAGAAAAGTCCAGTGCGCTTGGTGACAGCTGATAACAGTAACAGCATGGAAGAGGCAGAATCTGATGACAACGAAGTAGCGGCTTACGCATTTGATAGAGGAAATTGGGAAGTAGGGTTAGGCGGTACTTCAAATGGGTGGGGTAAAATGGAGGTCAGTGACGAGGATGTAGATTCTTATGACCATAATAAAGATGTAGAAGATGTCGCGGATGAGGACTCCGAGGGTGATGCGGATTTAGGTGACGCTGACAATATGGCTTTAGACACAATCCCGAATGGCGAGAGTTTGGACTCAGCTGTATCAGAAGATTACAGTGAGTGAAGGATATCGAGGTCGGGTTTCATAGCAGTACCAGTATTAGGGCTATTCATGAGTTGGATTAAAATTTTGATGGTGCAATATGTGTAGCAGCTAACTCTCTGCTAACTCCTGCCAAGAACAATTCAATGAGTTTCCCAGCAGATTCATCCGGGAAAATAAAGTGTAGTCCAATTAATGAAATGAGGTATATAGTTGTATTTTTGTATTAGGGTCAATGAAGAGATAGTGATTGTTCACATTGCTTCCCTACAGATGAGCTATTTAATTAGAAATTCTTTCAAAATTGTGCTAAATGCTAGTACATTGGTTTAGCATCGTTTCTTCTCTCTGATACACACATTGTACACGCCGGAAATAACAATTTATACATTAAAGTTTTTCCTAGAACCTCCACATACATCTCAATATTCAGCAATTAACCATCCCCTCTCTTTCGGCAGAAGACAGATCCAGATAAGGGCAATTGCAAGACGATCGGCCAACCTAAGCAAAGGGATTTATCTCACAAGGTCTCCAAACACAAAATCATTCAATTTTTTTGAGAAACAAATTAAGCCTTAATTTGTTATCAACTCAACATGATTCCAAATAGCTAGTCGTGATCGTTCAATGGTTCAAGCAATAATTTCTATGTAAGTTCTTCAATGCTCCACTTTTCCCACTCGTCTGGTGCACCCACAAGAAGCATGCTATAATACAGCTTCCATTATGCTCCTAGACATAGAAGAATTTACACACAGATTATTGCTTGGACATACACAGAAAAATTATCGCTTGGCCGCCGGGAACCCTTAACCAAATCCGAGCTAGATGTACAGGATCAATCTCATGCCGAAATCATTGAAGAACACAGTTTTTCACAATGTTGGACTTCTAACAAATGACAAAGTTGTAACCACATTAAAGGAGCTGGCCTGCTAAGTGCTAATGTCTTTCTTCAAAGACCCAGCTTCTCAATGTATCCCTTATTCATTTGGCCCCAGGGGCAACCTGAGTTACGTTACAATTCCAACTCACTCGATATTTATATGAATGGTTCATCAAAAACGATATGCACATCATTTCAAACTCAAACAAGAATCGAACTAATCAAGGACCCAGAAGTTTTTTGATCCCGGCCTTCTGCTCGGCAGTTAACCTCGATGGGAATTTGATGTTGAACTTGATCCGCAAGTTCCCTCTCCTCGACGGTTCTTTTGGTATGGGCATCCCTTCTCTAGGAAGGACCTCCTCGTAGCTCGGATGGATCACATTGTTGATGGGTATGGTCAGGTTTCTTCCATCTAATGTGGTGAGGTGAACCGTGTACCCTGTAAGTGCCTCCGCAAGCACTATCTTCTGCGTCACGACTAAGTCGTTGCCATCCCTTGTGAAGGTGCTATGCGGCTTCTCGTCGATCACAAAGACGAGATCAGCGGGAATCATACCAGGTTGTTCATTTCCCTTTTCCGGAAATGTAATCTTTGTGCCCTTCTTCCACCCAGGCTTTATTTCAATGGATAGAATTTCCTCCACTGGCATAGTTTTTCTGCGCAAGAACAACATGACTGCTTAGGACATGAACTTCTACCTACCAAAAAGAACAAACTGATCAAAGGATTCCACAAAGCATACGCTGAACTAGAATATGAAACCACCAGCTCGACCATTTTTCGCTTAGAAGCTCAATAAAACACTAAATCTAGTGTGCTCAACCGTCAAAATAGTATGGCACAATTTGCAGAAATAGTTTGGAAATGATGTGGTTCACACTTTGTGGTGAATTACCACCTCACCTGAAATTAAGCTAATTTGCAAATGATCCAGAAACAAAGTAGAAAGAAGTTAATGACATCAATTCCAGGAGTGCAAACAAGCAATAGCTTAAGATTGCATCCGATGAAAAGAATAAACACTAGAATATGCCTAATATATATGCTTTATGTAGCCAAGAAACCATCAATGGATCTAATGAAACATGCACAATTTTCCATTTGCAAACGATAGGCGCAGGTAAATTAAAGGAACGAAAAAAGCAAACTAACTTTCGTATCATTTCTGACCAAAAAAAAAAAATTTCGTATCATGACTGCCAAAAATAGGAGTAACAGAAGCCCTCACAATCACATCTGCAAACCCATCAAAAACATTCTTTAAACTTGCTCAGACCTATGAACAGGCGACATGTAAAAGAAGGACAAGATCAACATACCCGCTAGCATCTGCAATCTCCCTAGAGATCTTCATCTTCTTTGTCGTCCCTTTGTAGAGCTCCTCGAGGCTGCAAGGCAATTTATTTTCAATAGGCAGAGCCTTACGAGGACCCTGACTCATCGGCCTACCTTCTCCGAATGAGCCGAATATATCATCTCCAAACATTCCTCCAAACGATCTCGAACCGCCCCTCATTCCAATCCCTCCCATACCTCCAAACGGGCTCGAGGACCCGAAGAACTCCGCGAATATGTCATTCGCATCCCTCGGGTTAAACCTAAAGACGTTCGGGCCTTCCCCGGTTTGGAAGAAGGTTGCTCCTCCCGGACCACCGGCACCGGGCGGTGGAACTTGGCCTTTCAGTCCTTCTTCACCATACTGGTCGTAAATTGCTCTCTTCTGAGGATCACTCAAAACCTAAACACCACATGAACACATCAATGTTTAGACTGACATATTCCACCAATTTGCATCAATACACATCAAAAGGGCCACCCAAATTCAAAACTCCCGCAAAAATTTGCCTCCTGAATTCTCCCTAACAAATGCTAAATCTTCCTCGTACAGCGCAAACAAGCGATGGATGCTCAGTGCGCTCAACGCAATCACTAGGCCTAGAACACGAGATCAAGAGGTCACCCACGAAACAAAACCGATCCTTTCAGCGCCAGAAACAGTCAAAACCAGAACTTGCTGATTGCAAAGCATCTATCTGGAAACATGCAACAAAAAAGAAAATTAGTAGTACCTCGTAGGCTTCGGAGATCTGTTTGAACTTGGCCTCGGCCTCCTTCTTGTTGGTGGGGTTCTTGTCCGGGTGCCACTTCATGGCGAGCTTCCGGTACGCCTTCTTCAGGTCATCGTCCCTGGCGCCCTTGTCCACCTGCAACACCTTGTAGTAATCCACACCCATCTCCTCCCTCCCTCTCTCTCTCTCGCTACTTCTTCCCGTATATTCAAGTTTTGCGGCAGGATTATACGTACGGCGCTTGTATGTGCTGGCTGGCGTTGGGTCGCGTGCCGCTGTGTGTGATGAAGTGAGAAGAACGGGTTGGGGGTGGTTGGAATATATCTGAGGAGAGGGAAGAAGAAGAAGAGGAAGAGGAGGAGGGAGATTTGTGTAGAAGGAGGGAAGGAGGACGAGAAGGGTGTCGAAGTTTCCAGAGAGAGATGGAGAGACCTCCATTCCTTTGCCTTTGCCTACTTTGGGCCGAACACGAACGAACGAGTAGTGTTTTCCACGTTGGTCAAGTGTGAGTTTTTTTAACCCTTTTTTTGTAATTTCTAGTCATTCTTTTCGATTTTTGCGATTGGTGATTATTCACTCATTATACGAAAAAAAAAGAAAGGGAGAAGAAATTTTTTTTTGTCAAAAGTCATGTTCTTTCCGGGGAATATGCTTCGATTTGATTATGTTGGGTTGTCCATCCGCAAATGCAAATTAAAGTTGTTTTTCATGATATTCGTTATTGGAGAACCATCAAACATGCTTTTGGAAAGAAGGATGCGCGCACGATCTTGAGAACCTAGATCCGGGTGGAGTTGTTTCAAGCGCGGGTCGTCAGGGTCTCGAGTCGGAGCCGTTGTAGGGTCCGGGGCAACAAGATCTCAAGTATAAAAGGGTTAGAATCCCCGGTGCGGGTCACGGGACATGGGTTCGAGTTGTGAGGGCTCGAGTTTGGACATGGGGACTAAAAGAGCTGATCAGGACCGGGGCTAACGGAGCACATTGATTTAGGCACCAGGGATAACCTTGCGACGATAGAGGTTTAACGTTATTTAAAACTTGAATTTTTTATTTTAAAATAAGGAAGTCATCTTTATGAATTTAATTAGGATTTTTTTGGCTGATTATAATAAGAAATTCTGTGTTGTAAGCAATCGACTGAAAGATAATAAAAAAAACCTTTTTTGACAATTAATTTTTCATGAAATACATGAAGTAAGAAAGCAACTGTAGAATATCAAAAAATAATAACTCTTAAAACTTTATTCAGAAAATAAAGACCGAGGGTCGAAACCTCCGGCACGAGAGTTATGAGACTTGGTCCAAGCTGTGGTGACCTTGGTTTGGGCGGCGGTGACGTGCTTCGGATGCAGGGACCAAGGTCTAGACCGACAAGGATAGGGGGTCGTCAATAGGGCACCTTGATTTGGGCATCAGGGATAACCTTACGATGATAGAGGTCGAGCAGTATTGTATGAATCTGACTTTCAAAATGAAGTTATTTTCTTGATTTCAAGTGTAAATTTTCTTTTGTTTATGAAAAGATATTGACTCGTTTTCGTAAGTAATCCACATGCTTAAAGATCAAAAATATGTTTTCATACAATTAATTTTTCACCTAACAAAGAAAATTCATATACTTTAGTAACTTCAAAATGCCATCACTTGCAAGATGAGCTTTAAATTAAAAAGAAACGCAACTTCAAGACAACTTTTTCTTCCGAGTGATCTTTAAGATAGCTTTAAAGAATGTCGATCAATTTTGCTATGAAGAACAAAATGTACATACTAAGACTTTGTCTGTTTCGCTGAAAATGAATGGTTTAGAAAAAAAAATCTCCTAAAAATGATCACTTAAAATAATTAATCAAGGAAAAATATTTTCATTATCGACAACAATTTATGTCTTAATATTTTCAGAACAGTAAAATAAATTTACTTTCATTCATTTTTGTAAGCGATACGATCGTTCATTTTCAGGAAAATATTTTTTAAATTATCTATTTTTCGCAAAATAAATAGAGCCTAAGTAGAAAAAAAACTGGTTGTTTTCAACAACAAAAGAAACTGCTTATATAAACATAACCAAAGGGTTTCTAATTTTCCTAAAAACAAATGGAACCTAGAAGGCTAGAAGTAACTTAAAAAAAGAGTAAAATGATAACTTTAAAAACCTTTATTCCAACAAATAAGGTTAATATATCCATAAATATACATTTCAACAGTTTGGTTATTTTGATTTTCTAACTGCGGAGAGATATCAAATTTACATGTGAATTATATAGAAAAATTAGGAAGAATTATATGCAAATCTACATATGAGTACTTATATATTGTGAAAGTGTTAGATGCTTTAATTTTTTTTTTAAAAGTTAAAAGCGTGTGTGTCTCTATACTTAAAAGATTTAATAAGTAATGTAATGTAAAAGCCAATCTAGACAACCTCTTAAGTCTATCAATTGATCAGCAACACAAATTTGTTGTTTCTCTTTCTATTTTCTTCTTAATTATGTATTATGAAAGTTTTACGTAAATAAAATTGAAAGAAGAATTAAAGTATGTATGCTGCAAAATTTTTAAAAATTGGCAAAAAAATGAAATAAAAAAAAGTCACCCATTGGACAGTGATTAAAGGGGTGCGTCACTTTTCGCTTAACAAACTTTCGCCAAATAAAAGAAATATGACACAAATGATTCATAAATTTTCGCTAAATATATAATGCGGTCATTTAATTTTAGTCTATTGTGCAAAAAAATTAATGTGGTCCTTCAACTTTCACTAGTCCTTAAATTATATGAACATGGTCAATGTCGCCCCTACACTTAAATTGATGAAATGATAACATTTATATCTTCATATTGTCTAGGGACTAATTTGAACATTTATCAAAAGTTCAATAATCATATTAAATAAATTAAAATTTTATGAACCACGTTATATATTAAATTAAAGTTCATGAACCATTTGTGCCATTGTCCCAATATAATTTGTAACCTGATGTATTTATATTTCTTCGAATTTTATATGATAGTCTTCCCATGAAAAAACAAAACGGAAGGAGGAATTCTACCTTCAAACCCCCATCATCTTCTCCGCAAACCACACCGCGATTTCACAGAAACTGCAGCAATGGAGGAGACGACATGGGAGCAGAAGCTGCAAGCCCTGACCCATCTCCTCACCTCCCCAACCACGGCTCCCTCCCTCCACTCCCAGTTCCTCGTCTCCTCCCTCGTCCCCTGCTACCTCCGCTGCGACTACCCTCCCCTCCTCTGCCCCTCCCGAGCCCCCTCCGACGACCTCCTCCTCCTCCGGTGGAGCCTCTCCCTCTTCCTCCGGCGGCTCCCGAGGCTCGGCCTCCCGGAGACTTCGTGGCGGTGCAAGTGCCCCTACCAGCAGCCGCCGCCGCCGGTCCTGGCGGAGGGCGTGGGGGAGGCGCGGTGGGGGGACGCCGAGAGGCGGGAGTGCTTCAGGCGGCGGCTGCGGCGGAGGCGGCTCGGGAGCGAGGTGAACCCGCTCGTCCCGATCCTGGTGCCGAACCTGCTCCTCTTCTCGCTCCTGCTGTGGGATCCGTTTCCCGAAGCCCGAGGTTCGTCCTAGGATTTGAGATTCTTCGTTCGTTTCTTGCTGCGGTTTGATCGATCGATCGATCGGATGATACGAGGAATTGAATTTGCTCTCTTTCTTCTGTGTCGTTGGATTGGGCTGCCTTCCATTTTCAGATCCGAGAACCAGATCATTCCCAAATTGATGATTGAATGTTTAATCGTCCTTAAAACTACAGCTCCTTGATTAACGCGGTTCCTAAAATTTTGCTAAATGCTCAATATAGTCCTAGACTATACGAGATATTCGGTGTGGTCCTTCCTTTAATTTGAATGAATGATATGTCTAATTTATTAAGTTTGAATAGTGCGCGAAGAAAAAGTTGTACGTGTATTTTCCACGTAAAATAAAGCAAGAGAAAAAAAAATTTCAGATGAGATATTATCGCAATTGAACTCAAATCTGGCCAATCTCTTTCTTCCTCTTCCGAGTTTTAACGATAACTCTCGACTCTCTAATTCTAACATGTCGGTCCTCGAGAAGCTATATAGGGTAAGCCTTAGAAATGTCAAAATTTTCTTTTGGAGACATAGAGGTGGATTTAGGATTTCACGTTGAGGACTTTCTCGAGGATGATTATGCACGGCTTATCCGACTCAATCAATTTATGACGAAAGGTAGGAATAGTTTATTAGGGCAAGTTGTATCATCAAATGTCCTATTAGAGTATGAAAGTAAATATCGAATTATATTATTGTGGTCCAATTTGTCGTAGCTTTAGGTTGTAGCTTCTAATTTTGGCTTTTCATAAGTGGCCCCCATTTGTCTTTCTTGGCTTTAGGAGGGTTTCGACCCTCGCCTAGATTTGGGCAAGGGCATCAGGCCCTCGCCCGTGGCTGGTGAGGGTGCGGCGGCCCTCGCCTATGGCCAGCCGGCTGATCAGTTCTGGGAAAGAGAAAAAAAGAAAAAAAACATTAAAGAAAATCTGAAAATTTTATTAAAAATTATAAAAAAAATTCCACGTCAGCACCGATGGTGCCACATAGGACCGTCGGCGTCCACGTCATCGGTTTCTGGCCTAAATTGGTCGAATGGACTGAATTGGTGCCAATGTGAAAAGGTTTAAGACTAAATTGGTCCAATTGAAAGGTTTAGGATTGAATTGGTACCAATGCAATAGGTTTATGAGTTTTTTGGTACTTTTCCCGCAAGTTAATCGAACTTTTAAGCAATGAAGCACCTTCAACGGGGTTACCACATCACCATAAAAAACAGCTTTGCTTTCATTGTACTTAGCTTTTCTGACTCTACGCGGGAACTCAGCTACTGTTAATAAATTCGTGTAATATTTTGAACCAATCATCATCAAATCAAATTGATATCAATGCAATAAATTTGTGACTTTTTTGGTGCTTTTCCCGATCAAGAGGACCTTCTTTATGCTCTCAGACCAGCAGAAGGTATTTGCAGCAGACCACCAACTTTTCCATACATTTTCTTTTACGATTTAGACAATCTAAGTTTTTTTCGTTTGGCGGAAAATATTATCCCGGAAAATATTTTCCGGGTTTTCCGGTGTTCGGGGGGTGGAAAATGTTTTCCGTGGGAAAATATTTTCCTTCCCCTCCTTCACAAAATAGCCTAAGTCTATGAAAAATGACTTCCGCTTCTTCAAAAGCGGAAATCATTTTCCGGAGCTTTTTCTTCTTCTTCTTCACTAAGTTAGAGATGACAGTTCGGCTGCAGCGAAAAATATTTTCCCAAACTTTTTCATATTGATCACCGAACACCAGAAAATTATGTTCCAGGAAAATGACTTCCGGGAAAATATTTTCCAAAAGGAGAATATTTTCCGCCAAACGAACGGAGCCTAAGTTTTTTTTTTGAGATTTTGTTGTTAGATATATGATAATGAGTTACTCCAATATTGAGAAATTTCACTCTAATGCCATGGAAGAATTTCGAGAGCGGCTGATTGAAGTTATTGAGGACTGATATCAAAATACCAGCCAAATTGCTGGGTCGAGTGGGTCTTAAAGTTAGTTTATGTGTTGACATTGGTGATGTATATTAATTGAGGGATTGATTAATATAGAAATAAATAAGGCAATTGTGATGGTGACGAATGGGCAAAACAATGAAATGAAGAGGAAGATTAGCTTGTCAAGGTGCCATGGTTATCTTATAACAGTGAAGAAGTTCAAGTTGCTAGGGAAAAAATTAAAACTTTTAAGGAAGACGATACGTATGGAGTTGCTAGGTTGTTGAAGATACGTAGTGAAATAGACATTGAAGTTCCTAACGTAGTAAAACGAAAAAGCAGAAGGAAAGAGATTATAAGAGTAGTCTAATGTGAAAATTTAGAGCTTGAGACAAAATACTTTTGACTCATGTGACTCTAATTGGAGATTTGTCACGAGAACTAAAGAGACGGTTGTTAGAAGGAAGAGTGCACGTGTAGTATGATGAAACCACACATACCTCAGTTTGCACTATGGTCTTAAGCAGTTTAAGGAACATCGGAAGAGCAATATTACTTTCATCACAAACAACAAGGTGAGAGTAAAGGCAAAATGTAAGGCTAAAAATTGTGACTAATTTATTTATGCAGCTAGAGATAAAACATATATACTTGTTTCTAGTAAAACCTTCAGGGATAGGGATAAGCACATATGCACTTGGTCTTTCTAAGTGAGGAGAGTTACATCTACGTATTTGGCATTACATTAGCTAAGCTTGTGGATGGTAGCTCTTTCAATGAAGTTGATGTTATTCAATAAATTTGTGCGAGAGGAAATTAGTTCAGATGTTACTATGCAGAAGGAGTAAGCTGAGGGTAATCGAAAAACTAAATGGGATGTACTCATATGAGTTCATCAGGTTGTGGAATTATCACGAACAAATTGTTCATATAATTTTCGAAATATCTCAAAGGTAAAATTTATGAGAGAATCCCAAAACTCAAGAGATTTATCTTCCAACGGTTTTATGTTTGCTTAAATGCTGTGAGAAAGGATTACTCGAAGGTTGCAAAACCTTTGATAAGGTTGGATGGATGGTTCTTAAAAGGAAGTTGAAGGAGAAAATATTCAGTGGTTACAAAGCGCCACGTCAATTGCTGACGTGAAGCTCGTTTTTTACTCATGTCATATTAACATGTGTGCACTGTGTTAGAATAAAACAATCATTTTTTTCCTCTTCTTCCTCCTTCAAGGATTCACCCTCGTTTCTCTCGTAGCCGTCTTCCATAGCATTGGCACTGCCTTCAGGCTTCATCTTGGTCGACTCTTCAAATCTGGCTATCCATGGTCGCTGGCACAGGGCAAGCCATCGTCACTCGTGGCGATGGCGCCAAATTAACGAGCCTTGGTCTTGGCCAGCTCCTTCATCCACATTTCTCTCTAGATCTGGGTCTTCCATGGCAGTCGGCCCGCGTTCAAGCGTCCTTTTGGCCACTCTTCATGTCTGGCTGTTCATGGCCATCGGCACCAAACGAGCCAAGCTGTCGTCACTTGTGGCCTTGGCTTGCCACGGCTTGAGCCGATCTTCGTTTCTCACGAACTCCTCCATGAGCAGGTAGTCCTTGATCTTCTCCCACTTCAGCACCCGGAGCTTACACTTGGTCAAGAGCGTGATGTCGGGTCTTGCAGCAACCTCCAGCCCCATCTGCTTCTGCTGCTTCTGGCCGACGTGTAAAGGTAGCGCCGCTCAAACTACTTCTTCTTGTCCGAGCCGTGCTACTTGCGGTCGCCGCTATTGCCGCAAACGAAGACAGCTCACTCGGTGCCAGTGGCCATGGACGGCCAGATTTGATGAGCCGATCGAGGCGAAGCTTGAAGGCAGTGCCAATGGCCATGAAAGACAGCCAGGAGAGAAACGAGGGTGAAGGAGGAAGAAGAGAAAAAAATCATTATTTTTTTTATTCCAGCTCATTGAACACATGTCAACATATTATTGAACATGAGAAAAACAATGCGCGCTACATCAGCAATTGACGTGGCACTTTACAACCATAAAATATTTCCTAGAGTTGGAGGTTGACTTATCGCTACTGTTGGGAGGGGTGTAAATAGTAAAATGTATCCTATTGCATGGGCCGTTGATGAGCTTGGGAATAAGCATTCGTGGGGTTGGTTTATAAAGGCCTCGAAGTAGGGTTTTGGCACAAAGGTTGCCAAAGGACGGTGTGGGGTATATGGTTGATATCATGTAGTGACAATATGGAACTTTTGGAAAATACACAATAAAGGAAGAGTAACGACATCACCTTTTGCTAATCTGAATCATTTTATGTCCCACGCTGCCAAGACCATATGCAAGACCTTTATGAATATGATACATTTGATTATTTGCACCCCTTCCAATCACAGTCGACAACTTACACTTCGATACTCTTTTAAAAAATATTCATCCAACCTTATTAAAGGTCCGCAACCTCAAGGAATCACTTTCTCACCGCATCAAAGCAAACATGGAAACCGTTGGAATATGGGTCTTCATTTTGGTGATTTTCTTAAAAATTTTACTTACATGGTATTTTGATGATTTTTATGAATAATTTGTTTGTAATAATTTCACAACCTGTTGAACTCAAAGGAATAAAGACCATTATATTTAGTTTGTTAATTTCCCTAAACTTAGTCCTTCTGCAGTGGTTCATGGTAACATCCGCTCTTGCACAATTTTCTTGAACTCCTTCAATTTCATTGGAGAGCTGTCCTCCACAAGCCTGGAAAATGTTTCACCTAGTACGTAGATGTAATCCTCCTCGCTTGGAAAATCAAGTGCGGATGTGCTCATCCTTGACTTGAAGGTTTTTGCTAGAAACGACTTGTGTTGTTATCTCTAGTTGCATAAATAAGCCAGTCACAAACTTTTAGCTTTACATTTTGCCTTACTCTCACCTTGTTATTTTTGATAAAATTATTATTAACACTTTTGTTGGCTGCATATTTGTTGATAGCTTCCAACTACTTAGGGCCATAAAATATCATATTTAGTGCAAACTGAGGTAATTTCTGTGGTTTCATCCACGTGCATGCGTGCTCTTCCTTCTAATAGCCTCTGTCTCTTTAGTTCTTCTCTATCTCTTGTGATAAAGCTCCAATTAGAATTACTTGAGTCAAAAGTATTTTGTCTCGAGCTTTAAATTATTTGCATTGATAGTTGTTGTAGCCTCTTTTCTCCTCTTTCTTCGTTCTACTTCATCCAACTTTAACATCCATTTTCTTAATTATCTTTAGCAACCTAGCAACTCCATATGCATTGTCCTCCTAAAAAGTTCTAATTTTTCCCTATTTTCT